ATTGACTACTTTTTTTATTTCGACTGCTATTTTTTAACTAATTAGTCTATCGTCCAATAAGCGCTCAGTAATTCTTTGATATAATACGTTTATTAATATTTATTAAGTTAAACAACCTAATAAACATATGGTGATCATTTGCATTATTCTTGTAAATATTGCCGATATTCATAATAGGTTTTCATTTTAAGATCGTCTTAAGTAATGTCTCTTATTGGAGACTGTACTTAAGACAGTCGTAAATGCGAAATCGAATGTGAAAAGAATAGTCGACTTATATGATTGGTTAATTTTCTTACGGTTTAAGACTTAAAGCTTAATGGCTTATCGTAAAAAACCTCTAAGAATCGACTTCGACTATGAATACCAGCTATAGAGCTCTATTTGCCTCGTCGTCGCGTCGTCGCATCGCTAGCCGCGTGGACCAGTCACGAAAAGTGGAATCTCGCGAACGCCCTCTTCGCCTCCTCGGACGGTTTTTTTTCTTTTTTTAGAGGAATTTGTCATTCCGCGAGCGCTAGCACGGGGATATAAATACACGGCGGTAGGGCGGTCGTGCGTGCTTGCTTGCTTTCCTCGGAAAGCGTCCGCGCGAGATCCGCCGAGCGCGGACGCCACTCTCCGCGTCTCTTAATCCGATTTGCGCTATTTGCGAAATGTACGTACGATGGCCGATGCATCTCGCGCGTTTTCCAAGAACACCGACTTCCGGAGGAAAACTTGTCTTCGTTTCATAATCCGTCTTTCAGCGACATATCTTCCACGGTCGATGTGTGACGGCGATGCGGCGCCTCGACTGCGGTAGAGATCCTCAAGTAAGAAATTGGACACCGTTTAGGCAACTTCTGATTGTTCGTCGTATATTTTAGGACCTGCTTAACTTTTCGCGCATTGTATCTTTTGTGACCCAGAAGAAATTTCATTATTTCACTCTCATATTTCTTGGAACAAACTCCAATCTTTGTTAAATAAAGGTTTTAACGTGTGAATTAAATAACTATTTGACTATGTAGCAGAAATATTGAAAAGTAATCCTGAATTTTTCTAGATTTTTTTTAATGCTTAGAACAGTAAAAAAATTTGGGCTGAATAAAAAAGACTCGGAGTGTCTGCGGAGTAGATAGGTAAAAATATGTGTTCTCTATCACATTGGATAATCTATCACATTCTATCTTAAACAAGCCCTGAAAAATATGGCGGACCAAACGTATGGTGTCCAGTCTGTTACTTGAGAATCTCTAGACCGCGGTAAGCGCCGTGAATAAGTTCGATAAAATTGTATGTTCTTGATACACGCGATGGCCGAGCCTCTTATCATCGGTTTAAGTTCACGAAAGATGTGGTATTACGTCAATTGACTCGTGGGTTTTGAAAACAGAAACGTAATACGACGTCATCGGTCACGAAAGTGTCAATAAATTTGACGATAATAAAACTTAATTACAAGAGTACACACAGAGCCTTTCTTATAATTGCTTATCATCTCCCTACTCCCTACTCGTTACGTACATGCGACTAATCGTTCATGAGAATCGTTATACGATGATAAGAAGTACTACAACATTGAATTTGCATCGTAATCGGTCTAAAAAGTATTGGCGTGATCCAACATAGAGAATAATTTTTTATCTAAAAATAAATAATTAAGCAGGGATAATTTTTCGTTTAATTTTTTGCCTTTTCACTGAGAAAAAAATGGTTCATTTGACTAAATTGATTTAGTTCGTCGTTTTTTTATTTCTTTCGTTGAATAATGTTATGTATTTAAATCAAATATAATATATTTAATTTAAATACATACATAAACAATTTTACTTCTCTGTTTTCAGATGTTGAAATATTTTGAAGTGTATATTAAATTTAAGTACCGGTGAATGCCTGTCCAATTAAAGCGATTAGTCCAAGCCTTGTTGAGAAAATGCCGGTAATTTTCTGAAGTTTAAAAACATCAACAATTAACTGTTAAAACTGACTAGTTTTCAGCAAACACATTATATTTCTGGATTCAAAAATTGCAATGCGTACGATTCGCAGATTTCTCGCATTCGTATCGCGACGCGATCGATCGACTGAAGCGATCGAACAATACGCGAATACGAGTAGCAGACGAATCGTAATCGCGGCACGACGCGATTAAAACGAAGACTCTGCTCTCTATCAGTTTTCTTTATTATTCTTTATTATTCTGCGTTTTGCCCTGCGGCTCAGCGACCGCGAACAGGGCACGGATAAAACCGATCGCGAGAATAGAACGCGAGCGAGCGATGTGAAGTGGCGGCGATCGATTTATCGGCGTGATAAAGCCGTACACACGATACCGTTTCTCGATTTCGTCTAGCTTCTGAACTCCGTAGATACGACTCCGATGTTGTTTTCGCGACGGCGGGATATCGATCGTCTCTCTTTCTTTTTCTTTTTACATGATTGCCGCTGAATTCCAACGCGAGCACGGAAAAATTGCCGCGCGAGGCTCATTGCACGTCGAAGGTGCGCACCCTGAGAAACGCGCGGCCGCGATCTTTTGCCAGCACAAATCATAAATGCGAAACTCATCCAAAGGTATTTCCTATCGTTATCAGTTCCGGACCGGATTCCACTTTGTGACACATATTCTGTGTGCCGCAACATGACGGTGCACCTGTTATCGTCGTGGGCGGAACGACCGCGATCGTAATGCGGATGTTCAAGGTGCGCAGCATGAAAAAGGCGAGAAATATGTTCTAGAATAAATTTTCATTTCACGTCCCACTCTCTACAAACATTTTCCATTAAGAGATTATTCTGAGTTACAATATTCATTGTCATAATACGAATGAAACTTTTCTAATGAAAAATTAATATGGATTACATTTTTGACAAATGAATCTTCTTGATTAAGAGATTAATGTGGATTATAAGAGCAAATGATTTCTTAAAGCACTTTTTAAACTTCTTTTTTATATTCATAAATTGAAAAATTGATTTTCACAGAATCGTTCTCGTGTTTAATTTTCCTAGGAAAATTGGAGATTGGATTAAGATATATTGTAACACGATTATGTGAAAGTTGATTGGTTCTCATAATATTGCGCGGTATCTTTTACTGTAGGTAGAATGCCTGTAGAAAAAATATATTATTTTCTGTTAGCAAATATTTTCTTTCTTTTTGTTAAGTTATTATTATTTCAGAGATAGAAAAAAACAAAGATTTGGTGTTTGAAAGAAATAACAATGAATTTTCCTGTTACACTCACGTCGATAATAACATGTTGTAGAGTCATTTGCATGCTTGTGAAAATGTTATTTCCTATCGCGACGTGTTATGCAATGCACATTATGAATAATTTATTTTCTGATTAATGATTTCGAACTTGTTTTTTACACAAACTTTATTTACCCTTTTCGTATATTATTTTTTATCGATAGATTTTTTTAGCAAATTCGGAATATTTTTTTTAGTGAAAATATAAACAGTTATTGTATTATTTGTTACAGCTTTCTAATCTTTAGCATCATATATATTATATATAATTTTAAAAAGAAGGTTGTAGTTATAATTTTGCTGTAATTATATATAACTGATATAATTATAAATATAATATTCTAAATTAGAATTTTATTTTTTATTTCAACATTT